GTAACCTCTGTTGCTGGAACGTCCATCTGTTTTTATGATAACATTCGACAGAATAATCCCTTGTGGCAATCGGATTAAAAAGTCCCAGATTTCATTTCCAGACATTACCTTGAACTTTGAACTTTATTTCAAGGCAAAGCATATCACTTACTATAGGCATCATGAGTAGGGCCTACATAGAATATAAAACGTATAAATTGGCCAAAGAGTCTGTATCGAACGTGGACAGTTTAGTATGGAAGCATATAACTACTCCATACGTAATTTCTACTATTCGGCCCTTCAGGACGCGAAAGTCGAAAAGTAGAAGTTACGACCAAATGGAAGGCGACAGCACACACGTCAAGCAATAATTGACTCGGAAATAGGAAATTAAGAAATAAACACATCGCGATATTAGCGCCCTTGTTTTGTCGTACTTCTACTTTAAGACTTGCATTTTGCTTTTGTATCGTGATGTCGATTTTCAACTTAATCATATTTTTGTATTTATTCATGAGAGTAAGAAGGCGCCAACACGCATACCAAGCAAACCTGCAACGCGGGAAGTAGAAATTAGGAAATTAACACACCGTTGTCGAGTTTCGAGTCGGAAGTTGTTGTAGTCTCCGCATTCCAAGTCTAATTTGAATACGCGCAATTAGCGTTAACAAAATGGTCTGTGTTATAGCATCTAGTAATGATGGCGGTCATTTACGAGAATATTAATAACATAATGTTGTCAGTGTTGGTGATATGTTACGACAAATTTTATGCAAACTTCAGTAATATTATAAAACTTACATAGCGATAATCTTGATCGGGATATTATTAAGGCGAATGTAAAGACTACAACTTCCCAGTCGAAACCCAAAAAGTCGACAGTACGACAGCAAGCCAAAATCATAGGTCGCTGTATCGCGGGGTGATATTTGTTGTGTATTTTTTGCAATGTCTGTGTAACTTGTGTTCTCATTCTCCGCAGGTTTTTCTTATCGGTTTTGTTTCGCGTGTAGTTTGGTACTCCTGCACTTACTAAATGTATTTGTTTAATAATGTGTGGGATTTTTACAACTTCAATGTGTTTTAATCTCGAATATCAAGACACATTATTAAAAATTTAACCTACAAAAAAAACACCAGATTTTACCCAACAACACCGATAAAAATCACTGAGACAAACTAGGCCGTGTTTAGACAAAAATACAAAATCTATCAATCTAGCGTGTACTCAAATTGATAATGATAATTTGGCAGGGTGGTGTTACATGTCGGAGTGATAGCGAAGTATCAATAGAAAATCTCACGGTAGAATGATGTAACCTTGGCGACAGCGATACAAACAGTCAGCATATCTTCCATGTAGCACGATACCTGCAAAACATGTAGGGTGTACTACAAATAAAAGCATTTTCGTATATGTAATTTTCAAAGTAAACACGCTTACGGCGCCGTAGATGCTCAAATGTGCCTGGCTTTGCTGGGGGATATAGGCTAGCAGAGAGTAGAGCGAGAGAGAGAGAGAGGGGGGGGGGGTAACGTTGGCTCGACACAAAATATGTCATATCGGGACTAACATAAGTTTATTTCGCGTGTACGAGGTGTCTTTGGCAGTGAGAAGAAACCAATGAGATGAGCAGTCGACCCTTCTCCTTGTCACGTACAAGCTTGGGATCGAAACCACTTGATTTAATGACAGACCTTAGGATCTAAAGCCCACTCAAGACCAAACCCTGTGTATTGTTCTACAATGTACAAAAACGTTGTATTTTAAATGCGTCCAGTGTTCAAGGGTCGACATAATAAGCTGCAAGGAGAATCCGTCTAAGACATTTTAACAATCATTACGTTATATGTTGAAATGTTGTCTATTCAGCCAGTTTTTGTCTTCTACGATGTTTGTGTGATTCCACTCAACCGCTGACGCAAACTATCCGAACTAAGTTCAGTCATTATATGGTTTACAGAATCTTTTTTGAGTGAAAATCTTTAACGTACTACAGCCAGTTTTGAAAACAACTAACATTTTAGTGCAAACGTGACCTAGCCGCTTCCTCCGAGGTTACGGGGCGGGGTAGAGAAAAGATAAAAATGAAGATATACGTGGTTGATAGAGACAGCCGCCATTAATTGTACGTGTTCGTACTAAACATATCTTTTGTCTGCTGTTTTTCTTTGTAATTTTATCATAATAAGCGAGATGAATAAAGTTAATAGACACATTTATTTAATAGTCATAATTACGTAAAATAAATGTCTTTTCCTGTATGATGTCTGTTACACTGAATGAACGGGGAATGTTTTAAAGCCAATATGCATAATCGATCGAATAGAATATAAATATCGTACAATAAACTGTTATTATTGTCGGCTATCATTACCAAACGAGCATCGCTAAAACTTTCGATCGTATTTGACAGGCAACGACAAAATATATCATTGACGTGATCGCGCATATTAAATACAGATGGGCATTGTAGCGATACGTTCAAACTACTCAATTGGGATAGGGTTAACCTTAGAGTTCTGTCATGCTTGGATTATTAAATTTTATGGTCTGATATATATATATATATATATTTATTTTTAAGTCACGCCTACCCAACTACACTGACAACGATTATCAAAACTATTTTTTGTGGTGTATATGAATATGGCGATACACCCACTAACATGACAATAATGTTACGTTACTCCTTAAAAAGGAAATGACATTGAATTATTGACCACATGGGGACGGGGTGGCGACCGAGTGTTTAAAATTCAGTTTCGGAAATCCTAGTTTGGTTTTGTCACATAATCGTCAGCTATGATTCATTAGTCATTTTAATATCCCGCTATATAGACACAAGCTTCGTGTTTTTCATTATATATCTGACAAAATGGCGTCGCCAAATGACGCAAAAACTTTTAAGCATGTGTTATTTACACGATCGGTGTAAGGTTTTTGTTTAGTTTCGTGCGATCGTCTTTATGATGATCTACGAGTTTAGATAGTCTCCGTGTGACCTATTTGGGGTCTAAATGGCTGGAGTGTGACCTCTATAAGGTTCAATACGAACAATGAAGTGGACAATTTGCCTATCTAAACATAAGCGGTTATCTTAACGTCTATAACACGTGTAATTAACGTGAAATAAGTAATTCTTTCGCCCATCTATTTATTCTATCGTTTAACTATCAGCGGTCACAAAGAACATAGTGTGGTTGTAATTATATAAGCATATTAAGTGTGAAGTGTCGGGTCTAAATTGCTCTATTTAATCACCTATAATATGTCGTGAGGCAAGATATTAACCCTCAGCCTAAAGCCACTGTTGCTTAGCAACTGCATAGAGTATCAGGAGGCAGGGCTCACGGGTCCGCTTGGATATCTATTTCGTGCACGTTCGTTTTCTTTTACGTCAATCAATTAATTCGGGGAAAGATATGTGCAAATACGCAAATAGAACGCCGTCTCTTACTAAAGCGATGGACGTGTAATTTGTTTAGAACTGTTATTTCCACAAAAGATTCTTCGCGAATGTGATACGGTTTATGGCCAACCTCAAATTAAATCCATGTTTATTAAGCATTTATAAATCGAACAGTAATATCGCCACGTAATGTCCATTTACGGGCCCGAATGTCTTTCTTCTGGCATTTTATATATTCCCCTGCGACGGTATATTTCTCTGTTCTCCAACTTATTCGTTAATTAAACATTCTCATGCCGATATTCATGCGTATATAATCATAATAGGAGTATGAGAATATATTGCATGGGTATAATATTCTGTTTATATGAAAACATATTGTATATTTCATTAAATTAAATTTTGTCTGGCATACATAACATTATATTGTTTTTGTCTCTTTGTATAAAATGGGGTCATATCGAATGATTATTGATTAAATATTATGTAGCATAATACCGACATTATGTTAGGATCGAAGCACACACGTGAACACGGCAGCTCTGTAAACCTAATCTAATTTTCAAGTCGTATAGCAAATTATTCGCTGCGGAACAGCTTTCGTAATTTGCATAAAATTGAAGCTAAGTTTATGTTACGAGTTTGCAGCTGTTTTAAGCGTTCAATTTCTGCTATATTGAAGTTCTTCTCATCTCGTGGACGATTTGCTCACACATACGTCACTCGATCGTTTCAATCAATGGTTTGTGTCTGTTAAAAGCAACCTATCGATATTACGTACCCTCTAGCTAAAATGTTTTTTGAGCAGGATTTTCTTTCTTTTTTTTAAATGCGTCCGTGCTTTTGATTGGGCGTTTTGTTAAAAGTTTTTGTGCGACTCGGTCGTTTGGAACTTTTATCCTTCTATATAATATTGACGCAAAATTACGAGCGCGTCTGGTAATAATTTTCATTTGGCGCGTTCTAGATATTCAAGCAGGCAATATCCTGATCATATTCTGTGTATATCCTAGCGTATCGTAATTACTCTGTATATATCTGAAAGCAAAGCCCGGGATTATAATAAAAACATTATTGAGCCTACGCATTCCAACTTTATGTCACGGACTATGATTTGGAAGAAAGAAAGATTTTGGGCAAGTTAAGGTGAAAAATGGACGATTTTGACATTTATATTAATTGTTACGGCTCCGTGGTTGATATTAAAACCGGGGCTTTTGGTGTGCGTAGAAATGTTTCGCGGTGACTATATATATTCTAATCGTCTTTTCCGTGTTGTTGAGGTTTAGAGGAAAAGGCATGCATAAGTAAACAAAGAACAGTTATATCTATAACCGGTTCGTGGTGTATCACACGAAGCCATTTTGTGAGCATGTTTTATTGTCTTTGTTTAAAAAGCCATGATTTTCTAGCCAAGCTGTGTGTTCAGTTAGTGTATATATATATATACCTAAACTTATATAACAACATGTGGAAAAGCTTATAATATGTTGTACAATGAATACGTATTTATAATGTGTAAAACATTCGCCACTTTTTATAGTTATTAACTAAATTAAAACTTCCGTAGTTGGTCGGGGCATAAATCAACCGAGGAGAACGCACGTGACCGATAAGGCGGAACGAAATCGAGTTCTAATTATTGATTATCTAAACACTATCCTGTCACTGGGCTTCGGACAGACGAAAAGAGAGGATTGTATACGGTTTTGTCATTCATCGGCCTTAGGCTTGTATTTAACGATCAATATCTGATAGCTTGCGTGGCTGTGACTCGTGCAATCCAGGACCAGTGGAGTCGGCGCCGTAAATAGTACACTATGAGAGGAAGTGTGTAGAGAGAGACATAGTCGGATAACGAGCGATTCTCGATCTTCGAGAGTCATTACGCTCTATCACTTGACTGAGCGATCCTCCCAAAAATAGCCAGGAGGTCAACCGCTTACAGTCTACATTTACACGTTTGAATTCATTGTGTGTTTATACATCGCCGAGATGCGGAGAAAGAAAAGTGGGCGCGGACGACCCAAAACTGTTCAAAACCCGAAAAAGTCTTCGAAGAAAGAGATGGGTGTTGTACGGAAAGGCGCGGAAAGTTGTGCCCCTACGCCGGACATTAGTGTGTTGGGATATACAAAGACTGGACCTACTTCATACAGGATTGGAAGCACACACGTTGAACTTGAAAGTGCCGAAGATGACATTCAACCCATCTTTAAAGACTCGGAGATAGTTTTGGAAGTTGAGTGTGGGTCAAACAGTGCTCTCATGTATTTGTCCAGACTTTGTCAGGGTAGTAAAGGACAGTGTATTGAATATGATGGCGCTTGGATATCGCCAAATGACTTTCAGATGATTAGCGGTCGAGAGACGGCTAAAGACTGGAAAAGATCTATTCGACATTATGGAAGAAGTTTAAAACTTTTGATAAACAAGGGAGTACTGACTATACATCCCGCCGCTTGTCGCTGTGACAGCTGTCGTCTGCTAACACAAACGGTACGTTTGCCAAAGTTTTTCACGTGTTACTTTTCTATTGTTTCATCTATTCATATTGATTTAAATATACCTTCGTTACAATGAAATATTTTATGGGTTTTGCTGTAAAGCGTATATTGTTTACGAATCAGCCAAGGGGAAGTAATCGAAACACTATCCAATTTATTGATATATCGATTTGTATTTTTAGTTAGGTTTCGCTATCTTTAGTTTGTAGGATGACCTAGAATATCTCCAAGCTGTTTTGTTCGATTTACTTGACGGCTTACAGTAACCCATTCGATATTCAACAACGTGGCATACTGCGTGACGTTAAACATAAAGATAACATCAGGCCCCCCGATAGCTGGTATGAATATTAATCACGCATCGTGTTTTGTTACGGAACCGTAACATTACACTGAACGGAAGGGATAAAACTTTGAGCGGTACTAATGGCGTTGGTCTTGCCCTAATGTTATATACGGCGCCGTAAAAAAGTTCTCCAACTTGGCTTAGCTTTGTTATTATCGATTTTGGTGCCAGAACTCTTAACATAAAGATCATTACGTTGTGGGTTGCGTCATTAGGCGAGTTAACTATTTGAGAGGAAAGAAATTCTTTGTTTGAGTTGAGCACGATTTTAGATATTTCGATTCACTCGAATCACAGAAACAACGCACTCATACTCCCCGAAATGAGTTCATGTCAACCACATCGCACCTGAATATTTAATCAAGTCCCCCTGTTTTTGTTGTCGCAGTTCTTTTTGTGGGCAACACATGATTCGTGTTAACATATCGTTATCTAAATAACACAACGATGTTATATTTATTACATATTCTGTCGAAGACTCAACTCACGTGATAGCTACCCATTGCGCGTTTAGTTTTATGAAAACCGTGTCTATGCTAATAAGTTACACGTTTGTCATCTGGATATTGCATGCTGGTGCGAATGCCTTGCGACCATAGGTCGACTTTTTATTGGATATAAAACTCCGATGAAAATAGTTCATATGTGGGCAACGGCTGTAAAGCCTGCATATGGCGATGATTGCCACGGGCGTTGTCAAGATTTGCTCTCACACGAGAGCAGACGATATTTTGGGTCTTTGTTTCATCTATTCTAAACGATACCAGCCGTTATGGCTTTTAGGACATTTTCTACATTTTAGCTGAAAACAATAAAATTTGACTTTGTTATTATTAGGACAGTCATTGTTCTAAGATTGTCAGAAGATAGGTCTACTGTACTCCAATATAGATGACACATCAGAATAGGTATCAAAAGTCGCGCGTCTTGGAATAGAGTAGGGTTGTGTTTTTCTAAGGATGCTTTCTCGCAGAACTTTGCAAAAGCGAGCAGTTTTGTTGAGCACCGTTCCAAACGTAAGTCTATCATATATTATTCTAGCTATATGTATGTGTGTATCTATATATATATATTATAAGCTTATAGCACATATATCTAAATATATACATAAATATATAGCTTGAATGGCCGCAGATATCAAATGAGATGCCAGCTTGGACGCAAATAGACCTTGTTTACACGTCTACAGTTAAAACGTTACGCTAATGGTAATCGTATTACGTAACATACGATAGTGTGAACAATTGTCTGTAATAGGGGAGACCGTAACCTGTTGAATCCATATTTTATCAGTTTTCCTGTTGACCTAAGTACGGAATTTAAGTACATAGAAGAGATAAATTATTTAACAGACGTATTATAATCGCCGTGAACTAATCGCGTCTTCGGTTACTTGATGACCATGGATAGTGGTTCGGGTTCAAAACCCACCCAAGGCTGGATTACGCCATATTATCTAATTCAATCCCCTGATCAACTTTTAATCGGCTTGTTTGAACTCGCCCATATAATGATTTATCTCTTCGACTTTTGCCCCATGCAGGATTGAAATCAAATCTACGTCACGGGCGGTCTCCTGTCTTGAAAGTAGAAACCATTTTGAAAAAAAAACCGTGGGTGACATATATATAACCCACTAAGCCCACCACCTAAAATAAATCCGAGACGCACTAAACTATAGTTATTGTTGATTTAGTTTAAACATTGACTGAACATAGCTGTCAAATGGTGAACCCACTCGTTTAGAATAATTAAGTTCGGGATGAAGTATTTCTTTTTCAAGATGACAAGTCCATCGATTATCGCATGAAGAAAAAAAAAACAACGAAACAAACAAGCGGCCTTTGAAAGAACAGTCATATTTAGCAAATAGTCGTCATATTTTTTAAATGTTTGTTTCCTTTTCGAAAGTTTTTGTTTTCACTTTTCAATAGGGGCATGGCGGTTTACAATTATGACTAATGTTGCTTAATAGCACGTATATGGACATCACGATTATTTCGTTAATGGACACATAGATACTACATGTCATCAAAATGCCGGCCTGTTGATCATGTCTACGTGGCATAGGATAGAAGATGTATTTACCATATACCTTAAAGAATGTCTCTCTCAGACTCTGATATCATTATAGACATTTTACGTTGACAAGCTTGGGCAGCCGGTTGCACTTGAAGGATCAAGGCGTTGACGTTAACGCTAGTGTAAACATGGAGACACCATTATGTAAATGTAAAACATAAGGCATATTACGTGTGTCTATATATCCCATATCCTTACTTAATGCGTTACGTAACAGATCTCGACCTTTGTGGAATGGTTGTCCCTCTCGTTTGAATACCACTATTTTTCTCGTATAATAGAACTTATATAAAAGCATTTCCCTGACTTTTATTTATCTCTAATTGCTTAGAAGGCAAGCAAATAACACGGGCATCCAGTCTGAAGGGCTGTTGTTTAGGAAATTACATAAATATTGTATAGTCGCCGAATTCAATTTATGAGGACGCTTTGAGAACTTTCATCTGACAACAATTGAATGCTATTATACTCGATGGCTAAAAGCTTGCTACCGATGTTTTAATTTTATTCCCATGGGGTGAGTTGAATAGATTTATTAGCAAAACGTGGCATTATGTAACCTCAACACTACAATGGAATATTAATATCTATCCAGGGACGTTTAACTTATTATATTATCATTCGACATATTTAGATTCGGAATAGTCTACATCGCTGGCGCGCCATATTATTTATCAAGATGGCGACAAGATGAGAATCCTGATGGCAGCGATGGCATCGTCTAAGTGGCGTCACTATCTCTCCTGCAGAAACACGTGCGCACCATTATGGCGGAAATGGGGGTCGGTGATAAGCTTGCACGCTGTGATGGGTCGGTTTCCATCAGACATCATTCAAAACCATCTGTGTGACCTCACAGTTCATCAGACCAACAACGGGAAAAAGATGGGTTTTATTTTGGTTCGATACCCGAACTTTTGCGGAGATCAGAGACTCATGTTAACATGAAATAGCAAAGCTTGTAACGGCGCCGTAAACAAATTAATCACCGAAAGCGATAAAGAGTACACCTGCCAGTTAACATTATCGCACTGTTTTCAATATTTCACTACCCTACTGTTTATGGTAATGAGGCAACAAACGCCATTAATTTTGTATAATTTCCACAAATCTGGGTTTTGGACTGTTCACGATAACCGTGTACTATCCAAGGATAATACGAACTGTTGTTGTCTTGTATAAGATTAATAGAAACCGCAAATATTGCGCAACATTTTAAAACAGATTAGACCGGATTAAATCCAGGATGATAATATTTTATGTAAATCTTTTTTAGAAAGAATTGTTTAATCCTCGTTTTAGATGCTTACTATGACCATAAATCTATCCTGCTTAAAGCCGATCAGCGTCATTTGCATTTTTCTGAACTTATCTAAACTTTTCAAGGCTTAACCCATGCTAACATGTACTCAACTTAATTATTTTGAATCAAACCCCAAAATATCAACGGTAAATAATCTCCCGGCTTGGATTTAATCGAATTAATAAGGGACCGGCAAAAGACGGGACCCAACACGTATAGATGGCACTATATATAGCTTGTTTAAATCTTCGGGGATGCAGAATGTTGCGAAGCTTTCATTTCATCATATCTTTGTAGATGCTGAACGGATGTTTTGTTTTTGTTGTGTAGACAGCGTGGCATAACTATCATTTGTTGTCATTAAGGAATAACAATCATGCTTCGGTTTATCATTATAGATTCGTCAGCGATATTTTTTATATTTTAACGCATATTTAGGTGTTAAAAAAAGAGAAATTCAGAATCCCATCATTGACCAGAATTTATTCATAAGATGGATGGTCTTTTCAAGTTCCAACAAACGAGTAATCTGCTAGATAACTACGAATAACGGACGCGGTGTCAAATAATTTGATTTTCCTTTTTTCCCTTTTTTTAAAAAAAAAAAATGTCAACCTACTTAGAAAGTGTGCGTGATTGTAAACTTAATTTCGTTCTGATATTCGATTAAATGGAGGCAAATCCTCTTTATTATTTTATTGGTCCAAGTCACGTTGGTAATACAGGAAATCGGCAAATGCCATGCAACCACTCGTCACAATCTAATTACTCTTTTATTACTATGTACGTCAGCAGATATTGGTATTTAATACCTATCTATTATATATAATAACCCGATATTTTCCTTACATGTTAAAGTATCCCATTTCACACGAGAATTCATCTCTTGTGGCGTACAAGAATACATTATGGATCACAATATCAGACGATTTAAGTATCAATTTCAGTTTCAAAAAATAGCCAAGGCATCGCGATGCGTTTTTAAGCCCCCTAGCCCCACATCAAATTAGCAAAATTTCTACAGGGCTCTGAAGGAGCATTCCCATATCCCACAAGGTGTCAGTTATTGTCAATAGGACAATAAATGGTATATATCCCTTATTCCCTTAAGTTTACACTATTCGGCAGTTTAAAACACTCATTTGTACTTGTACATCAATGGGAAGACGTTTTATATGACACTTTCAAAATAACTATTTAGGCGTACCAAATTTGAAACTTCTAATTTCTGCCAATGGCAACTTGTCTAAAACGTTTTTTC